GTGGCTAGAGCTATTTCTTGTGTGGTGTAAAGTATTGTCATTGTTGGATATTTACCATGTGCCACACCACCATGCCTAAGGTTTTGTTCTGCATATGCTGCTTGAAGTTAAGCAGATTCTGTATATAAACATTAAATTAAATACTTGATACTATAAGTTTAAGAAAAAAAAGGAGACAGGTGTCAAAACAGCAGAACACTTAAGAAACTCAAATCTCTGAGATAAACTATTTAAGAATTATGATAGCTACTGTTGGATAACACAAAAAAAGAGGTGCAGCACCTTTTTTTAGGGCAGTATAGCACCTACTGAATGCAGAAAGTCATTGAGGATTCATCATTCCTTAGAACTGCATATTTTAAGTTTATGCAGCTGTGCATGAACAAGTTTTGGTACTAGGCTTCATTCCTAGATTTAGCATGTCTCTGATCAATGCAACAGCTGAGTCGATGCGCTGTGACTTAATTAGGAGCACAGCTACTGTGTTGAATGATATACTGTCCATTTTAACACCAGCACATTCCATTTCTGTTAACAACTGCTTGACAGCATGCAGATCCCTGGTCCTACAAAGTCCACGAAGCATCACATTGTATGTACAAGTGTTGGGTGCTAATCCTGATTTTTTCATCTGGTCAAACAACCTGAAAGCCTCTTCCACCAGATGCACACAGAAAAGACCATGTAAAACCACAGTGTAGCACACAGAATCAACAGCATAATTTTTCTGTACAGCCTCTCTTAAAATCCTCAAGGCCGCAAGGCTCTGGCCCTGTCTAACAAGGCCACAGAGGATTGCCGCATGAACATAGGCATTCGATTCAGGAGCACTCGCAATGATATTGCGGTAGACATCGATTGCATGGTTTACCCTTCCTAACTGGCACAAACTATCCAGTAACCCGACATGAGTGTAGCTGTCCGGGCTGGTGCACGTCTCAATTCTATCAATGTAGAACTGGATGGCTTCAGATGGAAAACCTGACTTGCACAGAGCACTCAACACAGAATTGCAGGCCACAAGATCAAGAGAGATATCGGAGCGTACAATCAACCTGTGAAGAAGGCCCATATTCTGTGAAAACTGTAATACCCGAGCTAAAGTCGATAAAGTGTATGCATCAGACTTTATCTGACTGCCATGAATATGCATGTAAATATCCAGGGCCTCATTGTATCTTCTCTCCTTTGCCATGCTATCCATCAGAACATTATACAAAACAATGTCTGGGCTGCAGCTGGCGGACATCATTGATCCCAAAAGCTCGCTGGCCTTTTCATGCCTACCAGCTCGCAAGAATCCTCTGACAAGTGGAGTGTAGGTGACCACTGAAGGAGAACAACCAGAATCCACCATCTTTGCCAGCATATTACAAGCCTCCTCTAGTCGCCCCTCACGACACAGACGAGCGATCAAACATGTCCACATGGCTGAGGTGAGCTTGCAACCCGAGACAAGCACGAAAGAAAGCAGCTGCAGAAGCTCAGACATAGTTCCAGCCTTACTGCAGCAGGCAAAAACCACAGTGAGAGAAGCTGCACTCGGGAGAAACCCCAGCTGTAGCATTTCAATAAAACAACTCCGGGCGCCTGACCAGGCCCCAGCCCTGCAGAGATGAGTGAGCACAATGGCGTAGGTGAGGTAATTGGGTGCCGGGTAGTACTGCAACGTGTGTCGCGCTGCATCGAGATGGCCTGTCCTGAGCAGGACGTCGAGGACGACATTCCAGGCGAAGGCATTGGGTTGGAATCCCCAGAGGCGCATTTGATCGAACAGATCGAGCACGATAGGGTAGAGGCCCCCGCGCCAGTAGAGCCTGAGCAGGAGCAGGAAAGTCTGGGGCTTGACGGGCACGCCGAGGGCCTGGAGCTCGCGGATAAGCTCGTTGGCAGTGCCGAGGCGGGAGGCGAGGCGGGAGGCGGCGGGGAGGAGGCGGTCGAAGGAGGAGGGCGGGTGGAAATAGCCGGGGCGGCGGGCACACCACAGGAAGAAGGAGAGCGTGAGGCCGTCTGAGGGGCAGCGAGCGACGGCGGCTTCGACGACCTGCGGCGTTGGCAGCTCCGGCGGAGGCTGAGGCTGGGGCTTGGAAGCGAAGAAGGCGGCTGCGAGCGCGGCAGGGAACGGCGCCGTCCTCCTGTGCGCGCCGTGGAGCATGGAAGCAAGTGAGAGGGTACGGAGGCGTCGTCGCTAGCATCGCAAGCGCAGACGACACGCGGGAGGGAAGTAGGGAACACAAGCAACGGCGCGGCGCTCAAACGCCGCCGGTTGGCTGCCGCACGGCGGCGGCGTGTCGGCTCGCTGAATGGAGCTCGCCTTCAGGCTTCAGCTGGCGGTAGCCATGAACGTGCGGCCCAGCCTGAGCCCATGTCCACGTCCACAACAAATGGAAAAGTTCTGCTCTCAACTCTCTTATGAGTTCTATCTGAATTTTTAGACTTGATTTGCCTCCTAAACGGTTTTGAAAGTAGCACCATATCAACCATCCTACATGACGCCATGTCACTCAACGAGATAGATAAGTCGGACCGGGAGGTCAATTAGACTGTACAAAAAAATATTTTTCTGGAATAAATATGCATTTAAAAATACTAAAATCTGATTTATATTTGTTTTTACTTAGAAAAAACCTAAATCATGCTCATACAAAATTTATGAAATATTTTTTTTCAAAAAATTATCTAAATATTTAATCTAGAATAAATATGGGTTTTAAAATACTAAAAAGCTGATTTAATATTAGAAAATTTGTTTTTAACTTGGAAGAATATGAAGCCAGATTCATATTTTTCCTAAAATCATGCTCTATATTTTTCTAAGCTAGGCACCATAATCTATAGTATGATTTTAGGAAACACATGAAGTTCATCATGATTGAGCCCGTCTAAACTAGTTTCCTGCTCGATCATGCCTCCCGGTGCGTGCGTAAACCTACGACGACGGCAGCCTACAAGGAAGTGCTCACGTCCATCCGGATGTTTGTCGGCCATGTTGCAGAAGTCAGTTTGGGAGACTAAGAAGTCGTACGTTGGTTGCTGCTGATGGCCAATGAGCCTTCACATGTCATCACCGTGATGTCTCTTGAAGAAGGAAGTGCTTCTACAAAGTTAATGCGCAATCAGAATTTGAATTCATATTTTATTTGGAATTCTTTGTGTATGTCTCTTGAAGAAAATGTTTTTTTTTGTTTGCTTGGCGGGTTGCAAGGTGATCCATGCTGTGGTCTGCAAGGATTTGACTTGGTCCGTATCTCATTTCAAAGTTTAGGAGACACTCTTAGACTAAAATAATTCTAAGCAAGGACAAAAAGGTGGAGCATGATTTTAGAGAAAATATGAAACTGGCCTCATAGATGACTTTCTAGTATTAAATTAGATTTTTAGTATTTTTAAATACATATTTATTCTAGAAAGGTATTGAGATATTTTTTGAAGAATATTTCTATAATTTTTATAAAGTCTAATTGACCTCCCTGAACTACTACAAAAGTTGATTTACCTACCTCGTACTGATGTGGTACCACTTAGGGCAGTTGACCTGGCGTCATGTAAGTCAAAACTGCAAAACTGCTCAGGAAGATAAATCGAGCAATTTCAAGAGTTGAGGGAGTGTAAAAATTCGGTTTTCTAGTAAGAGAGACAAATTGAACTCACACGATCTAGTATTATTTATTAGACATACATGTTTTCTCAAACAAAAAAAATAACGACTTGAGGATGAGATGTGTAGTTATTTTAAGACGATAGGAGTAGATATGTAGAGCCATTTATTCTGTATTTTTATTAAAATGCAAATCAATTGCCCCAAATATCCTTCTACATGTTTGAAGCTAGACCAACACTCCCTCCAATCAAATTTATAAAAATACATACATATTAAGGTTCAAACTTTATAATTTTTATGTTTAACAAATAATTTAACTTAAATTTATAACTATTGTAATATAAACTTGGCTTATGCTGATGTTTATGCTGATTTGTTATGAGATAAAAAAACTGTTCGTTCGCTAAATAGTACTACTGAAATAGTAATGTAGAACAGGACCTTAGTACGGTTAGATTTATATAAACTAATAATCATAATATAATATAAATAAATAAATAGTATTTAAAATAAAATGTGTCAAACTGTGTCATGTGAACTAGATCGGATGTTTCAACACATGCATGAAGTATTAAATATAGACTAATTATAAAACTAAATACACAGATTGAGACTAATTTACCAGACGAATTTTTTTAAGCTTAATCAGTCCATGATTTGACAATGTGGTGCTACAGTAAATATATGCTAATGACGGATTAATTTAGCTTAATAAATTTATCTCATAGATTACTACGAACTTCTATAATTTGTTTTATTATTACAATCCAAACACTCGACATAACCCCCACATGACATCTGATGTGACACCTCTAAACTTTAACCTCTGAATTCTAACACCAGCAGAGATTTTTAGCTAGCGGATACAGGTATGGGTTGGCACTATCCAACAGTTTTATCGACGGCAGATAAAGTTAATAACCCAACTGCTTATCGCAATGCAACATACAAACGTCACATTGCCATCCGAGCCCACAACGCGATGGCAGAGAATAAGAATAGGTTAATGATGACAAACGACTTATCGCAATGCAACATGCAAACATCAGGCACAACTCAAGTTCCAGCAAGATTCTCCTGCATCCATGTCCAACAGAGTATAAACTTGGTTACAAATTAAATTCAACTGGGAAAACTACAGTAACACCCTACTAGTATGAAATTTTCAATCCATTGGGTCCCGTCTTCGTGACACTGCGTGAAGTTCTACCCATCCATGTCCAGAGGACATCAAAAAAAGAAATTACAGGCCCCGATCAGTAGGACACAGGCAGACATGCGCTCAGGGCAGCAGGTTTCATTATCCAGAAAATGACTACATGTGTCACACAAAGCATCTCTCATTTTGCAATGAGACCTTGCTGACCAAGCCTCTCGCGGAAGTGTAACATCTGCGAAATTACGCAGCAACAAGATCAGGGGTTTCCGCCTCAACTGAAAGCAATGTAGTATGGACCTTTCCAACCCAGGCATCCAGGCGGTCGCGCAAAGCCTTAACCTGTGGAATTCCAAGCACTCTGGGCTGGACCCACGAGACGTGAACTGTACTGTCCACTTCATCAATTATTCCCTCAATAAGATGAACCTGCATTTGAAAATAAAGCAGAAATGTTACAAATGGATTGCCAGACGTAAGGCAGTCAAATGAAACAATGGAAACACAAACACGTCAAAACCCAAGACTCCAGTGATACTTCAACAACTAAATAAAAAGAGCTCCACTTGTGCAATAATGAGCTGATAGCAGTGACTAAAAACAGCTTATCTTACAAAGTAGTGAAACTAATAAATTCTTATCTTACATTAGGCTAAGAAGACGGGAACTATCAATGAAATATTACTACGGTCGATGGCTTGAAGGAAAGCATAGTTGCAATGGACACAAACACTAAAGTAGTAAAACAAGGCAACAAACATGTCTGCGGAGATAGACAAACATCCCAATAAAGCATTCATAAATGTGCAGTAAAATGTGATGGCGACAAGACTAGTCGATTTCCCAAGAAATGAGATAATTCAAATAATGAAGTTTCCATTGAAAATATGATGACAAACAAGGAACAGCACAAGTGAAAAGGGAGGTCATGACAATAATATCTTGTGCTAAAAAGAATGTCAATCAAGTTACCGAGAGGCTCTTCATAAGCAGATATTCCACGTCACTGATTGAAAGCTTAGTCTGCTCAGCAATAACACTTAATGGAATAGTTCTATCTTCAGATGGCCGGCTGAAAATGAAGACAAATAACATGTCAAAGGAAAAGAAAATGGAGGTGACCTTAGAAAAGAAGGATTCCATAAATATTACCTAAAGATTATCTCCATCAGACAAAGAATATTGATTTTCTCAAGCAGCTTCCGCTCATTCTGCACCAAAGCTGGTTGTGTGGTAAGAGCAGCATTGTGAACCCTGCAAAGTTCTTGGTAGAGAGCAAGGTTGCCGGTGTTGAATGCTTGTAACATATGATAAACCCACTCCACCTTGGTTCCAATAAGACTATTGATCTAAGGGTACAGATATAAAACTAACTTTTAGATCAAAGAAGTATCAAATCACAAAAAATACTCTAGTTATGATTTAATTAAAAGGCTTGTCTAACACCGAAACAGGATAGTCTATCCAAACTAATTTTGTCTAGACGATTTACTGTACCATCTTCAATGTCAACCAAAGAAAATGTAACTAAATTACTCTGATGACAAATACTGGTACGTTACAAGCGGCTATAGTAAGTCCATCAGTATTACATTTCAAGCTTGAATTTATTGTCCAACCGATAACCGTGCAGATAAACATAAACTTATGCACACTTGACACTAATAATTTAATAATTATGCCACTGATATTTGAGTACAATATAATTATAACTATAAAGCCATAAAAGAACTAAATAAATTAGCAAGTGGAATGGATACCATCAAAAGGAAACTACAATACACAAAAATTATGGATGATAACAGAAGAAGTCATGCACAACCAATATATTACTATAAAGCCACAAAAGAGCTAATGAAGTTAGCAAGTGGAATGGGTACAAGCATACAATAAAAAAATACAATACACAAAAAATTAAGGATGATAACAGAGGAAGTCACGCACAACCAAAGAATTACTTACAATCGGGTGAGCTAACAACTCTCCAAAGTTGTAAATGTTATCACCCAGCAAGGCTGCTAGAGAAAGATCAAAAGCCAAGTCCTGACAAGATAGAAAATAGTCAATAAATCAGATGAACATTTAAACTGAAGTTTTGTTTTACAGTTCAAATGTTATTGATGATGAAACATACTAGCTTGAATGACTCAGATAGAGACTCCACAGTTGTGTAGGCCAGATAGAGAAGAGCGTTCTTATAGAACTCCGCAAATTCTTGGCGGGCCTTGTGGTATTGAGATGATATCCAGTAAAAGCTAGCATGAACTGTGGGATCAACATCAGTCATACTATCGAGAGTGGTTTTCCCATCCTCCAACAAATTCTTGCACTCTTTTTGGTTTCCTTTCTCAAGATTAATAGCTGCAATTTGCATCTTCACATAGAGAATTGGTTCATTAATCCGCGACTCTCTTGTCTCACGCAGCTTTGTGATCACCCCCTCTAAGAAAGTAATTGCAGCATCCTTATCAGGGTACTGGCGAGAAGCTATCACCGCAAAATGGGCAAGCTTGAGCAGATTAATCTTGGTCTCAAAGTCGGTGATGAAATTGTTGTAGAGCTGAATGATAGTGTCTCCGGTCTGTAGAAGAAAAGGTGGCATTAGAATCATAAAAGACAAAAGGGTACAAAAATTGCAGCAGGTGAAATGACGTGGAACAATATACATTTGGCGAACTTTCAATCATCATAGGTAGTCAAACCACCAACAAGAGTAAGTAATACGTATAAACAGCCAGAATGATCAGCATGCCCACTAGAGGACAAAGAAACTCTTGATAAAACAAATAGGTACATGAGAAATCGATAATTAGGTTAGGTAGTTTATTAAAAAAGGCAATGAACAATTGACAGAAGCAACTCAGCCTGCTCTGCTTTTCCTTCGACATCATTGTTCTTCAGCAATTGCACATACATCCAGCATCTAAGTTTAGTTCAGTGGAAATTCATGTAATATGTGTGATAGATATCAATTGTAGCATTCAAATGAGGGTAACCAGAACAACTCCTAGATAATTTTTTGTATCCAATTCAATTATGTTTGACTAAAGCAAACTGGAGCTGCAGAAAGGATACTCGAACTTTTTGTATCCAATTCAATTATGTTTGACTAAAGCAAACTGGAGCTGCAGAGAGGATACTCGAACAACATGCATAAAGTTTTATCGATCCAAGACGCAAGCTGGTGAAGTTCACAGTATACCAGAATTGAATTGAGAACCATGAGCAACAAAGAATTGACCAAATATTGGAGACTTGTATTCAATTTCCCCACATAGGCAACTCCAAATGATTAGGTTGGCAACAATTATCCAGTAACAACTCTTAAATCTTACTAAAGCATGGGAGGTCTAGGAGGCGGGGTGGGTGCGAGATCCGCCTTATGAACGAAGGCATATGTAATCCATCTGTCAAGCCTTAACTAACCCTAAAATGACGAAGGCCGCGGCGGGGCAGAGAGAGGAGGATGAAAAGGAAGCGAACCTGTGCGGCCTGGAGCTGTAGGAATTGGTCGAGCTTGAGGGTGAGCTGGTGCCATAGCTTCCGCTGGTAGAGGTCGGCGACGGAGGCGTACCAGTCGGCGAGGTCCGGGCGCGCCTGCCGCTGCGCCTCCACGTACTGCAGCGCCATCGCAACGCCAACTCCGGTTCCCGTCCCGAGCAAGCAGCTGTTGGTCGGTAGGGTTTGAGAGAAGATCTGCTACGGCGACTGCGAGGGAGACGACTCAGAGAGAGAGAGGAGGGTAACAACCACCAGCAACAGCAATGCCAAAATAAAACCCTAGCGGTGGCGGAGGTGTGGCAGAAGAGAAACTTGCCGTGAGACGGAAGGGAAGGATCCGGATCGGTCGATTAGTAGATCTATCTATCTCGGCAGGTCCGGACTCGACTGCAAGTGCAAGGAAGAGAAGAGAAGCCCGACGGCTGCGACGGGGAGACGATAGTCGGAGCCTTCCTGCGGACTGCCCAATGCCAATTACGTGCGTGCGGCGGCGGCCCATCCAGCTACAAGATCAAACTCGGCCCATGGGCCTAATATCCACCTCCGCCACGCTGTTGCATGTATGACCGGCCTGCCGTATGATTTAGGGCGTTGATTTGTTGAAATCATCTAGCAAAATTCAATTTTCGCAAAAACAAAATCTAGCAAAAAAGTGAATAAAAATTTTCAAAAATATCCTATGGCGAGTCCTGTAAAATGTACTCTCATGAAGAGTCAGGAGGATTGATTGTAAATATAATAAGAGTTAAATGCATCATTGGTCCATTAACTTTTAGCCATGTTTCACTTAGGTCTCGATCGACCGTGAAAGTGGTTTGTCAGGTCCATAAACATTTTAAGTGATGCATATGTAGTCCATACCCCTTCATTTCTATTTTTAATCCGACGTGGCTATACACAGTGACAATGACCTGGCTTTGGAGGCACCAACAACGCACGTGAGCAGCACATGAGGGCTGGTATATTTGCACTCAGGTCCCTGGCTTCTCTCCCTCATTTCATTCTCTCTCCCTCGCCCTTGGGCACTCTGTTCTCGATCCCCTTTCTTCTCTCCATGGAGCTCGCTGTCGTCGGCTGCTGCTGTTCTCTCCCTCAAATCCGACGCAATGCCAACCACATCCCACGCATCGGCCTCAGATCCACTAAGTCTAGAGGGTCTCCCCCTCATTTTTTACTCCGAGTGCAAGGTCAGGCGGACATCGAAGCAACCATGGAGCTTAGGTCAAGTGTTTTTCTATTGGCCTACCCACAAGGTGAGTAAAAAACTTCTATTGGTTTTTTTGTTCAATTTGGGGGTTTCTGATTGCTGGTGACTTTGTAGCCAAATGGCGTAGGCTACGCAGGTTTCTATTGGAAGAAGGAGTATGTTGCTGTGTTGGAGAAGCGTGCAAGAGAAGCTAACAGTGGTAGCCATGGCGATGGTGTGGACTCAAGGTTGAAGAATGTAGCTAGTTTTGGGGGTGGTGCTGATCCGAAGATGGGGGACACACTAGCTACTGCTTTAAATCAGATAGAACAACTGAAACATAGAGACCTGGTAGCAATTTTGAAAGATTTAGTGAATTTGGCCAAAGCTATGTGTGTGCTGTTGTTGTGCATCTTGTTTGTGCTTCTCTTGTTGTTTGTTGAACTTGTCAAGAGGTGAAGCAACTGACATGTAAGGATTGTTCAAAAATGTTATCAATGTCATTATGTGTTTTGGTATTGTGTATCATCTTTGTTATGATGAAGCTACAATGTTAATCAAACTAATTGAGCACAATCACAGTAACAAGGCACATTTCATCGTAACTGAACATTGCATTCCAGAACCATGCTTGAGCAATCTGAAACATTAAAACTTGAGTAATCTTACACTAGAGACTAACAGTCAATCCAATTGTAGTTTGGACATGCTGTGAGACTGAAAGCTAGCTTCCAGTTGTTGTCCATGAAGCCTAGCAATCAGAGTTTACAGCTAGTACTACAAAAGATAGTAGTTAGGACTTTCTGCTATACAAAAGCGCAACTAGAACGTTGTACTATACAAAAGCTAGTGATTTTTCTGCTATACAAAAGCTAGCAGTTAATAGTTTCTGCTATACAAAATAATTCCTACAACACTTCACTTTCTTAAGCCTTCTTCTTCTTTGGTGCTACTAGAACCTTCTTGTTTGCTGCGGCTGGAGCATTCTTCTTTGATGCTGCGAGTGCATTCTTCCTCTTCCTGGTGCTTGTCAAGGTGGTAGGCGGCATAGGTCTTCCTATAGGCCTATTGTTTGTAATGAAGGTATTGTCAGGTAGAGGTTGATGCTCATGCTCCCTGCTGTGTGAAGACTACAATATAGCACCAAAAGAAGATGAATAAAAATATAGATGACTGCTTGCATATGTTGTGTGTTTTCTCCTTACCTCTTCTTGCATCTGTGAAAGCATAGTGGTACTGAGTTAGCTTAATAGAGGTGCACTTTCTTGATTAACATCCATAGGAACCTGTACATGGATTAGACCAGCTCTAAGAAATGGACACCTCAAACCTTAGCTAAGTAATGCATTAGGGAGTATATACCTGTTTAGTAGCTGTTTCCTGGACAAGATTCCTTTGAGTAGGCAACTTTGGCCTTACACCAGCCTTCCTCAAGCTGCAAGTTACTCTGTTATGCCTTGCATCCCCACAGTGCCTACAGTGCATGGTGATACCATGCTTGGAGAGTTTTGGGCCACTAGGGCCAACTACTTTGATTGGTTGCTTCCTTATGGACTTAGGGGGTCTCCCCATTCTTTTCTCATAAACTGGAGGGAGCACTTCAGCTGCATTCACCTTCTCCCATACACTTTTGTCTCTGCATGGCCTTATATGGTGTCCATAGGCAATCAAGTATGAAGCAGTTGAGTAGCATTCTGGGAGTGCATCTTCTGGTACTATCCTTTCATGCCTTAGACATGATATGGCATGTGCACAAGGAATCCCAGTGAGGTCCCACCTCCTACAATCACACTTCTTCTCCTTGATGTCTATAATGAACTGGTAGTCTCTGTCTTGTACTTGGAAGATTCCATCACCAGAAGGCATTACATAGCAGGTGTTTGCCCACTCTGTGTTCTTGTTAAGTTTCTTCCTAATTTTTGGACAGGTGAAACCACTCCAGTCTACTCCTACCTCCTTCTGTTTTGTGTAGTACCTAGTCATTAGCTGTCCCTTGAACTGCTCTAACATGCTTAAGATTGGCATTTTCCTAGCTTCTAGAATGTATTTGTTGAATACCTCACACATGTTGTTTAGCAGATGTAGGGTCGAGACGGCGGACTAGAGAGAGGGTGAATAGTCCTTTTTAAAATTAATCACGCCAGCTAACCGAAATAAATGCAGAATTAAAACTATCGGTCTAGCAAAGACTACACCCCTCTATCTAAATTCTCAAGCACCTTACAAAAGATCCTAGTTAAGCAAAAAGGTGTTGGGCTAGCTAGAGCTTACCTAACAATTCTATCTTGCAAGGTCACACAAACCTATGCAACTAGTACTTCAAGCAACCGGGGGAGCTCCTACACAACTAATGATGCAAAACGCACAAAGCTCCTAAGCTCACTAGCAATGCTCAATAACAAGGCTACACAAGACAAATTAGAGAGCGCAAATTACTTAGCTACACAAACTAAGCAATACAACTAACAAGGCTACTCAAGCCAAAATAGTTGTGCAAGGGAGCTACTTCTATGCTACACAAGCAAGAAGGTAACTAGCAAGCTACACAAGCTAACTAATTACAAGAGCAACTATACAAGCACAATGTATATGAAAGTAATTACAAGCTTGTGTAAAGGGATTGCAAACCAATTCGAAGACAAGAATGACACGATGATTTTATCCTGAGGTTCACGTGCTTGCCAACACGTTAGTTCCTGTTGTGTCGACCACTCACTTGGGGGTTTGATGGCTAATTGGCATCACCCGCCAAGCCCGCACGTCGAGGCACCGTAAGAACCTACCCCGAAAGTGAGGGTATGTAGGGTTGAGATGGCGGACTAGAGGGGGGTGAATAGTCCTTCTAAAACTTAATCGTGTCAGCTAACCGATATAAGTGTGAAATTAAAACTATCGGTCTAGCCAAGACTACACCCCTCTATCTAAGTTATCAAGCACCTTGAAAAGACTCTAAATAAGCAACTAAGGTGCCGAGCTAGCTAGAGCTCACCTAACCATCTAGCTTGCAAGGTGACACTAACCTATGCAACTAGTACTTCACACAACCGAGGGAGCTCCTACACAATCTAATAAGCAAAAGCACAAAGCCACCTAAACTTACTAGCAATGCTCAATAACAAGGCTACACAAGTCAAATTAGAGAGTGTAAATTACTTAGCTACACAAAACTAAGCAATGTGACTATCAAGGTTACTAAAACCACATTAGCCACTCATGGAAGCTACTTCTTATGCTACACAAGCAAGAAGACAACTAGCAAGCTACTAAAGCTAAACTAGTCACAAGAGCAACTACACAAGCACAATGTATATGAAAGTAATACAAGCTTGTGTTTCGCGGAATGCAAACCACCGAGAAGATGATGAAGACAATGTTGACACGGTGATTTTCTCCCAAGGTTCACTTGGTTGCCATTGTATTGACCGCTCACTTGGTGGTTCGGCGGCTAATTGGCATCACCCGCCAAGCCCACACGTCGGGCACCGCAAGAACCTACCTCAAAAGTGAGGGTAGCTCAATGACACGCTCAACTAGAGTTGCTCTTCGCGATCCCCGTGGGGTGAGCACAATCCCCCTCATAAATCCTCCTCCGGAGCACCGCACAATCTTCTCATGTGCTTCAATAGAGTCACAAGCCACCAAGCCGTCTAGGAGGTGGCAACCTCCAAGAGTAACAAGCACCACCGACTTACAACTTGATCACCTAGTGCCACTTGATGCAACCTCATTATGCAACGCACTAGAATCACACTCGCAATTCGGATCACACTCTTGCAAGCACAAGTGAGTTAGAGGGCATCTAAGCACACCTACACAAGCCACCAAGGCTTAAGGGTGCTCAGCAACCGGCCCAAGGCCAGCCACCACTTCTATTTATAGTGCTAAGGGCTAAACTAGCCGTTACCTCTTCATTGGGCATTTTGCGGGCTGACCGGACGCTCTA